CGGTTATTCTTAGTGTTAACTTAAGGCGTTTGCAACACTGAGTCCCAGCTCTGACGAACGAAAGCTGAGCCTGGCTTCGCCCGAAAAGTTGGAGGATGTCTTTTAGACTTCATCAACGTGAACTTTGTGCTAACGCCAAACGACTGCAGTACAACGCGAATCAGCCGACTTCTTCTGGTGAGATTAACCTACGAATTTCTTCATCTTGTACTACCATACGAAATGAAAGTCTTCGCATCAATCTTATCTTAGGAGATTCTTCGATTTCCGCATTCTCTTCGTATGTACACTAATATCTAACTTTTTCCACAATGATATGAGTAGGGCTCATGTCTCCAGTGAATTTCACATAGCCTTGCTTTTAATAAGGTGTTTCCATTGAAGATATATTGTAGTTTTTTACCTCTCCTTGGTCCCATCAGCTGCCCTAAAGGGAATATAACCAGGTTAGTGTAGCATACAGTTTCGAAATGTCATCCACTACGAAGCATTACCACGATGGCGCCTGGGTCACAGGACAGATGCGCATTTCAATGCAAACGAGGCCTTTTCCATATCACATTTTTGAGATGAATGAAGCAAACTTGTATGTGATATTACATTCCACCACATTACTTATATTCGTATTGAGTAGGTTTCGAAACTACCCATAAATCTTGAATAAGAGCGGACTCTCATTTGGTTTTCTCATTCAGGTTGGATAGCAATTAACTCCTCGCCTCACTATCTCTTCAACATCTCAACAGGATGCAAATCCGAAATCTCAGATCACCAGAGAAAAAGTTGACATCCAATATGTGAAGCAAAGCTGGGTTTCGAATAATCCTTTAATCCTTTTATGCGACTTGACTTTTCAATTAAAAGATGGGAAGCCAGAAGAAGGATTCCTTTGAAGTGTAAAATATTATATTTTGGGGAGAGGTTCTTAGTCAACTTACTTTGGAATCTTCGGGGTCGCAAAGACTTCTTCGCACAAATCCACAATCACAGCTTAGTGACAAGTATTCTTCGATCTCTAGAGAGGCCAATTATCTAATTCCCTCCAACAAACTTTTAAGTCGAAATAAAGTCTGAGTCACATTTGATGTTATGGATAACTCAAGGTTTCGATTGGTTATAATGTCTGGCATAAATAGATATTCAAGGGTGTTTAAAGCGATGTCAATATAGTTAATGGAATTAACCAAAATAAAGGGCACGATTCAATTAAAACTCTCTTAGCATCTTATCAAATGACGCTTTGGCATTTCATGCATACAAAACATGTACACCCAGATGACAACATAAAGTAAAACATCACCCGAACAGAGTAACTGTGAGTTAGCTAAGGGAAGAATGCCTAGTCTTCCTTTAAATTCCCATATACGCTGTGATCCAAGGGCACTCGTGGCAATGCAGCATAGTGGTTAACGTGTAAGGATTATACGCTGCACTATCACGGTGCGAGTCCCGCTGGGGGTGCTGATGTGATATAGGCGAGGTCGAAACTGCAGTTCATCCCAGCCTGGAGAAGAATAGCTTCTGGGAAAACAAAGCTATGTGAAATTCAAAGGAAGCGTAATGTCTTCTCATGTCATTGTGGGAAAATGCGACAACTAGTCCAGTTATCACCTTAAAAGAAATAGTGTGAATACACCTCACATATATGATCTACTGGTAGTCACGAAAACGCGTTTATAAACAAAAATACGGGAAGAAATATTTGATCCCATTTTGTAAATACTTGGCGCATCCAGAAGCACGCAAAAAGAAGCATGAAATGGCAAACTAAATCATGCAATAATTTAATGGGAACTAAAAATTGGGTTAAATGATGTAGACAGGATTGCATCTTCGTGTCTATAGAAGTCTGATAAGCAATGACTTCTCACTTTGAGCCGGCCCATCGTATTGGGACAAAATAGGGCTTAGCGAGGACTTGTCGAGGCCACAGAATGCGAGGGTGAAGGCTATTAAGTAAAAACCAGCATACACAACCATAAAGCAATCTACCTTCCTTTTTTTGGTATGGCAAAGCTAAAAATCCCTAATACTCGACTTTTCATACCAAATGCAAGGACCAATGACAGAAAAAAGAAAAAAGACCCACAACTTTGGCAGGTTTTGGTTCGATGCTCGGTATAGTTGACAATATTAGAAGAAGAGTCAGTGCGAGATATTTTCTATGGAGGTTCATTGCTATTGCAGAACAGGTGAGAAAATATGGAAAGCAAAATGCTCCATTAGTTTAGTGTCCTTTTCTTTGAAGGTGGCAGCTTGAATATTCTTTTATTTTCACGTATTTAACCGAGATATATCACTAGAAAGGACCCCAATTTCGAGACAGACGTCATACACAACTTTTCACTTGAATGCACATCTCAAATGACTTGAGCTTTGCATGCACTTAACGCACAATAGCAAATACCTGAACACGCGTCAAAATCGTAGGATCAAATGCAGGCTTATTTATGCAGGAGATGACATCTACTTTCATTTAATGCATCAACTTAACCCATCTGCAAGCACGAGTTAGCCGACCAATTCCTGGGATGCCCAATTAAGATCGAGAAATCGGGTATGATAGGTGCGAATGATTGAATTTTGCCACCACTTTCTTGACTTAGCGTATTTGTTGCGTTTTTTGGTAGACGATGGTTGCTCGCGTTGACGATATCTGTTAATTGAGATGTATTCATCCTACTTCGTTTAAGATGATGAAGAAATGGTAGTTGAAAAAAAGAGATATCTGCTAATGACACAAACACTCAGCATGCACATTCATCGTTGAGCCGAGGGCGTATTCGCACAATTCAATGGTCTTTACTATTTCACTTCTTGACGAGACCAATTCATGAAGTTCTTCTAACCAGCATGTTTTATGAGGGTTAATGACGATCAGAAAAATATATTTAAAAAAAGGATCTTGTGGAACTTACCCAATCCTACTTCCTCTGCCATGGTATTCGTGATTTTCAGTTTTGGAACATTGACTTGGTACATTCCTAGAAGTTTCATCGGTATTGTAGTCGGTATCGTCAGTGAAAGGCACCAGTGACAATGGAGGAAATAGGGGCATTGAATGCCGTGAATAGATAAATGGGCGATGTGAAGTGGGGTTGAGAGAAGAGATGCAGCATTAGAGGCCAGGACAAAAATAGGGACGATGAATGATGCCATAACGTTTGAACAGAAAATTGGCCTTCAATTTGTACCTTGATAGGTTGTAACTCTATTCTACCGATGGCACCGCACACTGACGATGCTGACTACGATGACAGTAGAACATATGGGAATGTATCAAGTCATTGTTCGGATGCTGGATATCAAGAATACCATTACTTAGGACGCAGGAATATGTACGTACCACAAAGTCTTCCTGACGCTCCGACCAACACTAACAAGCTAAAGGAGACTTCGACCAAACCGGAGGCCACACCATCTTGGTCCTTATATCTACAAAAAATAGGGCTTTATTTTAGAAAAAAATGTCAGGCTCTTAAAAATTCTTCAGCTTCCAAAAGCTTGTAGCGGCAACTTTGTGCTGTTCATGCGCATGCGTGCAAATGCTGGTTGATGCCATGAAGTATGATTTCAGCTCCACAAACTTTAGCCCATCCACCCACCCATTCATATATCCAACCTTTTGTTCATTTCTATGTCTCTCTACATCTCCATCTCCTTATCTGACAGCCAGATGTAGGCTTGTTTCTGTGTTGTTGGTCAAGTCGTTGGGCTCAACGAACGATCTTTGTAGGCAGCGAATCCATTCAAAATAAGACGCGTTGGCAGCGCTAGGCTTGTCCGCGCTCAAGCGGAGCATCACCTCAATTGACTACTCTTTGCAGTACTTAATGAGGTGGACAACTGAGGTTGGTGATTGCGATGGCAGTAACGGTGGCGGCGGTGGTGGTAGTGGCGTTGTTGTCATTGACGACGTGAGCACATATCATCGTGAGTCCGGGAGGAGATACATTTTGGCCGCCAAAGAAAGCTAGCTGTGAGCTTGTTGAGAATGCTTTTCAGAGCATGAACAGCATGGGAGGGAGAGCAAAGTCGCGCGCCCAAAGCGGTATGAGCTGATTGGGATA